ATACCTTACAGTACTTATCAAATATTTCTGCTAATTTATGGTTGCAAATTTGGTCATAAAGATTATCGAGAAATAATTGATGTTTATAATCTAACGATCCGGTTATAAAAGATCCCCAAAATTCTCCTAATCCCCATTTAACAAGATAATTTTTAAAAATCATTGTAAACCTTTCCTTTAAATGGCTGGATTTTATCACAAATAAATAAAAAATGGTCGGTTGTTACTTTTAAATTTCGGGAACATAATTTACAAAAACTGTTGTTTTGTGCATGCAGACCATGTCTGCTTCTTACCCTCTAGGTTTAGAGAATTAGTTCGTGTTTTGAATTTTAATGTAATTCTTTTGAAATTTATTTTGACTAGTAGATGGTTCAAATATAGGTCTATCTTTCTATCTGATATAATCTGTTAGTGAACTTTTTAATTTACAATTTTCAAACCATGTTTTAAAGTCAGTCTCTTAAATAATCTTTTTAAATTCTTTATTAATCTTTTTAAATTATTTATTAATCTTTTTAAATTCTTTATTTTGAGGTTCGGTATTGTACATTCTTAAGTGATCACATTTATTTAATACCTTTTATTGAATCTAGCAATTTCCATTTTAATGAAGGTTCAACACGATTAATTGCTTTGAATAAAATTCGTGGCCATTTTTTTCCATCCATGTTTTTAAGTCTGTTAAAATATTGTATTATGAAATTGTTTTGAATTGACTCGATTGATTGCCAGCCTAGGTCTACATAAGGCGTCTTTAGCTACATTTCGTTGTGCACGTAAAATAGTTCGAGCCATCTGGTATTGGAGATTTTATAGTTTGGCAGTGGCCGCATTTCCGGCACAGAACCATACAGAACATGCATAATTTACGGTTGGTAGACTTAATTGTTCTCCACATATCTCCATAGTACACTCTACTGAAGTCGTCCTGATTGTTTATAATAGACTAATGTACGCAATAATTAGGTTACCTTTTCCGATTACTTCTTCGATGTGATGTGAGTCTTTAGGCATGAAGCGCTTTATAAGACCGACATATTATTATTATTATCATTATTATTATTATTATTATTAATTATTATTATTATTTATTATTATTATAATAAATAATAATAATAATAATAATAATATTATTATTATTATTATTATTTATTATTATTATTATTATTTATTATTTTTATTATTAATTATTATTAATTATTATTATTATTAGAAAATCAGTGGGTTGATGGATTTTCACAATTTTTATACCATTAAATTGCATTTATTTTTCTACATTTTTTGATGAATGAGCCAATCTGTTTCATAAAGTTTGAATTTTCTTGTCAGGTACCTATAAACGACAGCAACATCAATGTGTTCTTTCAATTGAATTAATGTGAACTTATATTTGAAGCGGCAGTTTGGCGCAGCGGTTCAGGTTTGGGCTTTCAATCGTAAGGTCGGGGTTTCGAGTCGCCGCTGTGCAGATTTGCTTTTGTCTTTGGGCAAGGCACTCCAGCTACATTCAGTCCTCCCAGCTGTATCAATGGGTACCAGCAAACTGCTGGGGACAACCTGTGATGGACTAGTGTCCCGTCCAGGGGGAGTACGTTACAACTCTCATCCACTTCACACTACAGAAACTGGAGATAAGCTCCAGCCCTATGAGCCCCAGTGGCTCGGAAAGGATTTAGTTAGTTAAGTTAATTATTGATTCAAGATTCAAATTAACTTTATTGCAAATTTAAGAAAAATTTGAAGTGTATAGATGTATACTAAAAATGTTTAGAATATTCCAGTTAAATTAGTCAAATTAGTCAAAATAAGAAAGCAGGATATATTACAACATTAAAATACAAAATGCAAATGTACAAAACTTGAAAAACAAAAACAAAAAACAATCAAAATGCGCATAAATAAGGAAGACATACAAATCAGCAATTATACTGAGTACATTACTGAATAAAACTAAATAACGCCTACAGGATTTTTCTTTTCTATTTTTTTTTTTATTGGGTGGTGGTTTGAGGGGTGGTAACTCGGGAGGGAGACTTCACCACTTGGCGAATACCTCATGATTTAAAATGATGTCACGGGACCTTGATTGATTGATTGTTTTAGTCTAATTGTCTATATTTTCAACCAGTAAAAGTACTGTAAGAAACAAAATTGTATACACTGTTAATTGTTTAATCTCTGTGTATCCCAATGTATTTTATTCTAGTTTTAAATAGGTTAATTTAAATTGTTAAACCTCTTGATGCGTTTCTTATTGTATGTAGCCCTCATAAAAGTGAACGCGCTAGCTCTGCCATAGCTATTGGTGCCACTTGCTCTCTGATGACGAGGAGCGGATCCAAAGATAGGCCTATCCGAAACTAGGGACCGAAAATGGGGCCAATCGAGGCATGCCCCCGCAATTTTTTTTAAATATTTTTATTGAGACGTTTTGGGCTGTCAGTTATTTCGCCCCCACCCCCTCTAAATCCGTCCCTGATATATCCTACTCCCGATTATTCGAGAGCGGCGCTTAGCATAAAAAAAATATCGGGTTGGGTATGGCGCTTTTACGGTGTTCAATAATAAAAAAAATAATAATATTAATAAAATATTGTTTGAAGGTTTGCCTGGCGAAGTATAATATATAATTAATGCTTGCGGTACACCACGTAGATAGTTCAGAAAAGAACTGTTGTTGTTGGTTGAGAATATCTCGACGGTCTTCAGGAGAATAATAGATTATTCTCCTGAAGACGTTGAAGCAAGTCAACCGAAACGTCGAGATATTCTCAACCAACAACAACAGTTCTTTTCAGAACTATCTACGTGGTGTACCGCAAGCATTAATTATATATAAATATTAATAAAGTAATGTTTTTAAAAAATATTTAGAAATGTGATTGTAGCCGTTCTAGTATTGTTTTAAAGTTGCATTTCGATTTTAATCTGAAGCTCAAACTATCAACTTGGTTGCAAATTCTGCATGAGGTTGAAAGATTTGATTTTAGTTGATATAGGCCTTCAGGAACAGCCTTTTTAGAGAAACAGATAAAAATAGCCATAGGTTGTAGGCAGTTTAAATTCTTATTTAAAATCAAAACTGAGCCCAAGGAGCTATTTTCTTTCATTTAGGTATATGATGCGTACCACGTTGAATCATACTTAGGCCTAAGTTATCTAAAGTAATCGAAATGTCTAATGCAACTGTGCACGTGTTTGAATCTCGTCAGGTAAATCAAGGCCTTTGGTGAATACGCTACGTAGATTAATTCCAATGCAAGAATGGATATGGTTTTGTTCTATTGTTGTCAATATTATCACGACCTGCTCAATCATCAGAGAATCATAAAATGCCAATTAAGCCTTAAACGAAATAAAATATATAGTATATGACTTGACTATATTATTTGATTTCAATATCCTTGAATAATTTTTCTCAAATGTTTTATAGATATTTTCTGCGCTTTGCACAACCGTGAAATCTCAGAACGTGTACTTAAAGCTAACAGACCTTCATTTGATAGGCCCTACTTTCTCAAAAAAAAACTGCTGAATTCTCATCCATTGTCACGCTTAATTTTGATTTTTTAATGCCATATTTGACAAAATGTCAAATTTTACGTTTTTAAGTTTTAAATTTAGCCAAAAAAATGGTAATTTTTTAAAGATCACCTTAACATAGTATTTCGCCATATATTGTTTGAAAAACATGTAAAATTTTCCAATTTTGGGTCGCTTGGCACTAAAATCAAAATTCATCGTGGCAACATCCCACTTTTTGCCAGATGATGCGCTACGAAACCCCCCACCCCTAAAAAAAACAAAAAAACAAAAAACAAAAAACAAAAAAAAAACCAAACAAACAAACAAACAAAACAAAAAACAAATTGGAGCACTTCCACAATATGGCGCCCTGCCGATGATCTCTGCGCTGCGGAGATCCCACAGTTTAAATCTTTTTCGTGTTTAATTTATTAATATTTACAACATTAATAAACGCAATTTTTACTATGCATCAATTATTCAAAAGTAATATATTATATAATACAACTACACCATATTATCGAATAAACGCTTTGAATACCGTACTAAAACGACCTCGAATCGCTGTGTTATAGTAGTGTTAAAAGTGGTAATGAAGCCGTGTTAGTCTAAACATAGAGAAATGTTCTATTTTCTCTATGGTCTAAACAATATACTGTACAAAGAAAATTAAAAGGCAGCACTCTGATATTAACTTAGAATATGTTAGGCCTATATATTTAACACAAGCTTTCGCTGGCAGTCAATGCCAGCTTCATCAGGTCATAGAGAAAATAGAAACTATTTTGATCAGGTGTGTGAAGTTAAAAATTGAAAACAAAATAGAAAAGAGCTTATGCATACATAATTAGCAATAGTCTTACCATTAACCAATTAGCAGTCGGATACAATACAATGATCAGAGATAACAAGTGTAATCAAGCAACTTACTATTCTACTAATAAGTAGCTAGGCAGATAAACTATCTGTGCAGTCATGGAGTTAATTATGAACAATGGAGTCAGAAACAAACTAAATCTTATAGTGGCTGAGAAAGCCTAGATCTATATTGAGGCCACTATTAATGCTATCAAATTTATGAATAAATGTTTGTTCGTCAATTAATCTATCTTTTCTGTTTTTAAAGCAATTACTAAGGAGCACAGCTACTTTAAAGTGTGTAATATTATGTCCTGGTGAATTAAAATGAACTGCAATAGGCCTATCTTTGTTGTTGTGACGAATGTCAAATTTATGACCATTCATCCGTTGTCTGACAGTTTGGCAAGTTTCTCTTATGTAAATAGTACCAGGACATTTAGTGCATGTAATGGCATAGATGGCGTTAGATGAAAAACATGAAAAAACGATCCACTGATGTTGTATGTAACTTGATTAGGCCCTGTAATAGTAGTGTCAAAGAGTATTTGGTAGTGTGTACTAGTGTTATATTAAAAATACCTATGCTAATAATGAGACCGTCCAATAATCGATTAGAGCGCAGACGCACAGAGCGCGGAATCTTAAAAATATCAACATGGCGGGTGTTTACCTACCACGCTACGAGTAAGAAATAGCCTAGTTATCGACGATTGCACTTTATTAAGGTCTTTATTTGTTGTATTTTGTGTTCTAAAATGATAGTTTATTCTATGTATCACGTCACTACGCCTAGGCTTAAGATTATTATGTTCTTGTTGTCTGATGTATGTAGGTTGGTATGGTAAGGACCTACCTTTACTTTAGCCTAAGGCTAAGGTAGGGCCTAGGCCTAGTTGGCCAACCCAAGGCCCTTTTAAAGCCTAGGCCTAGGTGTTTTTTTTTTGTGGGGGTGGGGGGTGCAGGGTCAGGCCTACCGAGTAGAGCTACAATTTCAAGACCTATGACATAGTTGATTAGGCCTTCTTTGCCTTGTTGTAGGCCTAGAATATAGGCCTAGTACTTAAATGGAGTTAGGCTAGGCCAGTAGTAATACACCTTAGGGCCTCTACTAAGCACTAGCAAGGCCTAGGCCCTAGTTCTTCTAGGCCTAGAGTACTAGTAGTAGCAGTAGTCTAAAAAAGTAATGAATGGTTTAGTCTTAGACCCCAGTCCTACTACTACTGTACTAACGTGAATAACATCTGGTCCGGCCGCGAGATATTCAATGCCCAAATAAGGGTTATTGGGTTAGGTACAGCGAATGTGTAATAAAATAAAATTGCTGAAATAAAGAACATAAATATTGTTTAATTAGAAGAACACAAAATACTGTTTAAATTATCAAGATTAATTTTTAGTTCAAAATGCTTAATAATCGATAAAAACAAACTTTTATTTTGATTGTTTTGCGAATTATGGTTATAACTGATGAATTTTGTTGCATGTTTCGCTGCCGTGCTTCCAAAGTTTGACAATATATTTAATAACTCTAACGTACCCTTTATAGGTACCACATGATAAATACAAAGTTGCATATTAAATATTTAAAAAATATAGCACAAAAAACTACTTATTCTCAGTATCATAAAAAACTTTATTTGAGGAAAATTGAGCCACTGGTTACGGTTTTATAAACATTTGAAGTTTATCAGCGCGTGAATAGCAAGTTGCCATTACCTGTCTCTTATACACATCTAGATGTGTATAAGAGACAGGTGTCATCTCGATCACATGACGTTACCTGTGGTGTACACCAAGGGTCTGTACTGGGGCCACTACTCTTTATTATGTACTCAGCACCCATTATAAGATGTGTATAAGAGACAGACAGCTGATTGTCGGTTTTGCGGTGCCAAAAAAAAATATTGCTACGCCTCGTATTACATTCATATTTGGCAAATAAACTCTTAGATATATAAACTAATCTTTGTTATTAAAAAATTGAACTTCATTACTCGCAATTCTCTGGAAAAAAACGACAAATTTTAATGAAATTTTCAAAAGTTGATAACTTCGCTAAAAGTTGGCCGATTTCGGAAAAAATCAAAATGGTGTACTACTTCGACCCCTGAGTGACCTGATTGACCTGATGGAAAAGTCTCAACCAATCAAAAAGCATTTTATATGAATATTTTCTGAAGGTCTTTTGTTGACAAAAACACGCTTGGCTGAACTTGGCTAATGACACTAATTAAAGTGCGTGACGTCACGCATTGTGTGGTGCCTACCCTTGACGTCTGATGCAACGCGTTCAACCATGACCTTTAGATTTTTTTTTTTTTTGCTAGCCTAGGCCCTAATGTGTAGGCTTCTTAGGCCTAGAGATTTCAAAAACTGCATTGGTGCCAAGCCAAATATTTTACAAAGGCTATAACAGACACTAAATTTTACATAAAATATTTGTTTGTACAATATTTATTTTAATAAGCATTGTGGTTCCGTAGGCTAACTGCTGCAGTGCTAGGCTAGGCCTAGGCCAGGTAGGCCTAGCCATACTTACTACTAGCTAGGGGTCTAGGCCTAGTTAGGTAGTACTTAGGCTAGGCCTAAAAACATCTGCCAATTGAAGCGTAGGTTGTAACCTATTATTTTTCTTCATAGTACTTTATTATCATATTTAAAACATTGTTTATTATCTAAAAAGAACCAAATAAAAACATGTACGCCTACAGTACGACCAATTTGTCTGCGATTTCTGTGAACAAGGCACATGTGTGAGGGAATCTATTTTTTTCTGCAGAAAAAGAAAACACACTTGGTGGCGCACTTCACATCTTGTTCCCTGTGCTGAAGATGAAAAAGACGATCGTTTTTCCTCTATTATCGGCATTTTTTAGTCGATTTTCAGCATTTTTTTACCAAAAAAAAAAAATGGCGGCTAGAAAATCAGGGTCAGGCGGTGACGCTAAACAAGTTTTTTTTTTTTTTTGGCCTTATGCCACATGAAAGCTAATAATGAACTTTAAATTTTGTAAATAATAAAAAGGGGGAAAATATGGTAGTGGCTCTACTAGTAACCCAATGGAAATTAATTATTTACTTTGATAACTTGGGTATTTCTGAACATGGTTCGAAATACCTCAAAATGATCCATCAGCAAATAGTTGCTGTAGGCTACAGCAATTTATTCTCCAGCAACAATCAACAGGTTTTTTGTTTTTAAGGGTAAAATCCATCACTAGTAAGCAACTCAACAGCTAAAAGTTTGTTGTCGATTCTGGGATTTACCACAGCAGTGGAAGGACCTTACTACAGCAATTGCTGTCGGGAAATTTGGAACCTGCTGAATTCAGTTTCAATCTATTTCATATTATTGCAATTTTTTTTTTTTATTCCATTGCTATACACTGAAAGAATTTTTTTTAAACCAACGTAAAAGCAAAAAATGAATTCTGGATTTTCTAAACATAATTTTATTGGAAAATTAACAGAAAATCTGTGTATCTAATATTTATACAATATTGTCGTAAATATAATTCAATGTAAGTACTCAAAATTAATGTGTTTTTTTTATATTTTTTATATAGAATTCTTAGGTTCATTACCTTTCATGTGACAGTATCCTACCTTTATTATCGTTCGAGGATACAAAGATATGAAACGTAGATCATGGAGGTCATTGTAATTCATTTCTGCTGACACACCAATTCCCCCGGACCGGCTACAATGTTCGGTTTTTTTGTAAAGTTCGGTTTTGTAGAACATTTCTGTTGAAATCTTTCTGACGAGCCTGTTGCAGGCCATAGTGCCTATCCCTTGAAATACTGTAGAAAAAGCAAAGCCCAGTGGGTTGGTTATGTCTAGTTTTTAGCAAAGTTAAGATATTATTTAACATTATACAGTGTGCTTGTGCTGTATAGCACAGCACACTTAATTACCATTAAAATGGATGCTTTCATATATTTACATGCTTTTTTGGTCTGATATATTTTTTTAAACATACACATTCTTCGTAGTCACAGGGAGTTGGTACTGTAGTCACGAAGTCGCTTGCTGGTTGGCTGTTGTGAACAACAGGCAGGTTGCGCCTCCAAAATTCTGCCCGCTAATTGGTTAATTTTCTCTGTGGGGTTGTGTGCAAACATAATGCTTCCTTGTGATGACTGCAGATCGCCCAAATTTTCATAGTGCGTGACAGGAACAAGCTCAATGTAAACCAAGAAGTTTTAAAAACAGATTTATTAAAACAAATAAGAAATCCTCATGATTTTATTTTAGACTCAGGGCTGTAAAATGTTTGTGGTCCTGTGTCAGGACTTGAGTATTTTAGGGCTGGGCTAGCAAAAAATACATTAAAATTAGACCAATAGTCAATAGCTGAAGAGCTAGCAATTATTTTAGCAAAAGTAGACCTTAATTAACTTTTTACAGCTCTGAGACTCATCTAAATAAATCTAACAAATTTAAACTTCATTCTCCACAAATTTCCTCCGTAATGAAATTAGCAACATGGTTTTGAGAAGTGTCTTAAGTTAAAGAATAAGTGAGGTTATGCATTTGTAATTTACACTGATGAATCTAATGACGCCCGGATCGGATCGGAATCGGAACGTCTACTGAAAAGAGTAGAAGCTCGCTTTGGGTGGAGTTTGATCTTCATTACATGTTGAATGGACACATTTATTTGTCACATAAAATTAAAATTTGATAGTGTGAAATGAGCTTAGCAAGCGAGCCAGCCCCTACAAGTATTTAATCTCTTTGCCTTAAATTACTACTGTAAGGGAAGAATAATAGGCTTAGCCAGGGAATGGTTAATGTAATTTAACTGTTCCCTGGGCCTAGCCTATGCAGGCCTATTAATTGGGTCTTTAATTACTAACATCTACTTAAATCAGTAGGCTTAATATGTCATGCCTACAGTAGTGTATATTTTTGAAAGATAGTGCTAAAAAAGTATACATTTTTTTTTCTCATTTAAAGCAAAATAGCTCTACCAAAAGTATCTATGGAAGGCAAAATGTAATTTATTGATGAAAAAAATGTGAAGTGGAAAGATGTATAGAGGCTGCCCTTCCACCTTATGGGTTAAATTTACAGTACTATAGATTTAGGCAGCTTAGTGGAAATTGGCCAAATTCACATCCCTAGACCAAAATCTGTATCACTGGCACCAACTGAAAATTGCTGTGTATGGTCCCTGACTGATTTTTAGCCAAAATATTTTCTTTTAAAATTAAAAATTTTGTAACAAAAAATTTTAGGTAAATTAAAAATATTTTTGCTTTGTTTAACAGTGAAGTTGTACATTGAGATGAGGCCAAGAGTACCATGGATGCCGTCAGTAAGCACAAGTTTTCAAAGAAGACTTGTTGTTCCGGGCAAATTCCTCTAACTTTAATAAAGACTACACCTTGCTCGCAAACTGCTAAACCATCACTTTATCAGAGCTCGTTCTTTGGAATATATAAAGAGCGATGCCAGGATGGCATTGGTTTCATCAGTCATGACTGGTTCTCCACAAAGGCCCACATAAAATCTGAAGATGTTAACCAGCAGGATGTGGACATTGGTTCCATGTCTTGTCTGGCAAAAGATGCGACAGACTTTTTTGGAGAAAATCATGTGTTAAAGGATGACTTTACTTTCAAAACACCAAATAGAAGACTTTTGGGAAAATCAAAACAGGTAAAAGGTGTTCTTTTCTATTCAACATCACAGGACATGACCTTCAATGCTTTGTCGATGTTTATTTACAACTTTAACTACAACGTGTAAAAGATACATAATGGATACAAACATTGTTATTTAACTTTTATTTTCAATATGAAGATTATCGAAGGAGTAAAGCGATCCGACTCCATTTAAAAGCCATTGCTGACCGGGTTTGAACCGGAATCTTCACAAAAGGACAGCTTTGATTATTGCAATGTACTAAATTTGAGAACCTGTGTATCCGTATTCTATTTTTTGCAGTTATATTCAACTCCTGTTCTTTCCTTATCATCAAGCACTGTTACTACACCCTCGTTATTTAGTCCAGATGAGCAATCGGCTTCTAAGCGCAATTTTTGGAACACTACGAGTGACTCAGCAAACATCAGGCTTACTGGTACAGGTAGGTTATTAATTTCAAAGTCTATCAATTCCTTTACCACATTATTATCTCTTATAATATTTTCAGCTGTACACTCCAATCTTCTCTAACTCACTTAATATTTAAAGTCAGCAATGATAAGCCCATTTCAGGCAGGGCACCTGGTAATATATTGCCAAGCATAGCCAGACCAACTTTGTTTCTCTCAGAAAGGGTCAAGCTGCAAATATGCATACTAGTTGAGTGGCAGAGGCTTGTGCCGCTAACTACAGCCTTAACGTCGGCGCTGGTTTGAGCTGCTCCTCTCGCCCAGGATTAGGTTGGTAGAACCAAATCTTCTCAGATACAAAATGGATGTCCAGTGTACACATCTGGCTTGTGCGCACATCAAAGAACCCATTGCATCTTTGTGTAGTCACAGACCACACCCATAGGCAATTCAGCACAATGATGCTGGGTCATTCCATATGAACTCAACCAAAATTGAAAAATGTCTGCAGGTGACCGACTCCGATTTGGCTCAAATTTATTTTGGAGATATCTTTACATGATTAATGAACACATGCAAAATTCTAGACTTGGTTTCAGAGATATGGCCCCACAAAAATTGGGTGCCACGCCCCCTTTTTGGCCTCCCAAATCACGAAATTAAATTTATAAGGTTTTTGGAGGTCAATATCTTGGTAATGAGACAGGGGTAGGGGTCTCGTTCGTTTGCAAATGTCGCCCCAAAACTATGGAATGGTCTTCCTCTGTACATCAAATCGGCTGTTTCTATCGAGTCTTTCAAAACCCTGCTAAAAACTTTCCTGTTCAACAATGCTGAATATGCATGGTATGTTTTCCCTTAATAATTCATTTGGGGTGGTGATGCATGTGCTATCGTTTGTAGAGTGTCCGGAGCAGGGCCCACCTGTTCCTTATTCGAGACGTGTTGTCTTTTGCAGCGCATAGTAGTAGAACCGAGGACTTATTCTGAGGTGGAAGCTACCGGAGCCCAACATACTGCCTAACGGAGTGAGTGTGTGCACCCGGGTGTGACAGCGACATTGCTTTCGAGATCGGTGGGTGAAGCTCTTTTTGTAAAGGGCATTGAGGTTTTTTGCTGAATGCACTATAGAAGTATGGAATTATTAAAGTGCTCTTGAATTGGAGAGCAAACAGTATTTCCCTTTGAAGTTTTTAGTATTGATCTATTTTCAGCTTTTAGCCCAAGCTCACCTGGTAGTTCAGCATTCACACCAAATCAGGCATCTACGTCAGTCTTCAAGTCTCCTTCCCCATATGTCCCTTCCCGCTCTACATCAGCTTTGACGTCCCCCTCACCATTTGCCCCTTCGCAGTCTTTCAGTAGTGGTGGTGCATCTTTTACAAACTTTACATTTGATGATGATAGCTCAACAATTGAGAAGCAACGTCTTATAAAGAACAAACCGGGAGGAGGAGCTTCGCATCTAGATATATCCATTGGCTTGTGCCAGAAGGTAGGTGGATTTCATTTGTTTGTTTTTTTTTTTATGTATTGAGGGTTACCAGCCTATCCGAGAAGGCCGGCTGATATTCAGGGCCCTCTTAAATGAAATAACGTGATGCTTTTATCTGTGAATTCTCTTCAGGAGTGGAGTTGTTTTTAGTTGTGGGAATAAGTCCTGCTGTCACAAGAATTGAACCCAGGACCCTGGGAGTAGATGGTGTAATGTAGTCAAATTTGTATAGTGCCCTCTATATTGTAAGGTCAGAAGAAGCTTGGGTGTGTTGTGGTTGTTTTTGAATATGATGGACAATAAAGACAACCAGTCCCAATTACTCTACTGTGGTTTTGTTGTTCATTTGTCTCAGTGAGTGAATGAGAGGCATAACAGATGGCAAGCATCTTAACCACTAATTTCCACTCAGTACAATTTGGGTTAACCTGGATTTTGTGAATCCCATGTTTTACATACGCCGTTTGGTCACGTTGCATATGTAAAATGGAGGTTGTACTGTATGCTGATTTGAACATTTTTATTTGGATATTGTAAAAAACAATTACAAATCTACAATACCAACATGTTCATTTTCACCTTTTTTTTTCATTTTCATCATCTGTTGTTATGTTTTTATCTTATCTATCATAATTGTAATCACATTCTGATTATTTTTTTCATAATAATAATAATATAATATAATAATAATATGTTATATTTATATAGTGCTTAATGCCAACAAGGCCTCTAAGTACTTCACATTACTACCCCTGGTCATTGGATTAAAGCCTATGGAACACAAACGCAAGCTCCCTGGGGGAGTATTCCATAAAGTTGCAGCAGCTACATCAGCGCATTTTGGCATTTAACCCTACCAGGTACCCATTTATACTCATGGGTGGAGAGAAGCAATGCAGATACTGTAAAGTGTCTTGCCCAAGGACACAAGTGAAATACACAGCAAGAGAATTGAAACCCCGACCTCGAGGTTGGGAAACCAAACCGTTCCTGCTGCATTAAATCAGGCATTATACAACTTTGACTACATGATCAGATCATCCACATCTGTCACAAAATACATAGATGACCTGGAAAAATTCATTAACTATCATTACTGTATTCTCATTGCTGTTCTTCCCATTATCCTCATCTGATTTATTATATCTATCAACATTCATGATCAGCATAGGCTTTGTTCACACACACACACCATCTAGCGGCTAGCAGGATCCAGATAACAAACATATGCGCTCACCCTTGCATTCATACAAGAAATACCCAATCCAGATATGAAGAAGGTAACAGTGGGATCACTGGCCAATAGGAAATTGAGAATGCGTACATCTGATTGGTTAATGATAGAATTAATGTAAACCTGCTAACCAATAACGCTCGCTAACTGTTAGTGTATCCACTTCCTGGTAACGTTTACAACACTAACCGATCGGGCGTTCTCATTTGCATGCTAACGATTAGCTCCCGATCTGGATACTAGCGCTCAATGTGAACCTAACCATAATCATCAGCATTATCAATATTGTAGATTTGTAACGTGACAAAATTCAAGGCAAAAATGCAAACCATCATATACAAATTGATAAAGTTAAACAAAATTCTTTAATAATTATCAATACATGATGAACATAGTACAAGAAGTGAGCCAATCGTCAATTTTAAAGAATGTGGTTTCTATGTCTAGTAATACAGTAACATCTCCCAATTACAAGCCTCCAATTTACAAACTATTGATTTTAGGAACTCAATTTGTGGAGATGACTTCATCACGAAAGATCGTTTTTAACTAACGAAACACTTAAAAATTGTATTTAAAACTCTTCAAAGATAATATAAAATATTACATCAGCTAAGAAAGAAAACATTTGAATGAATTAAAGTGACATAAAAACTAAGTTCAAATCAAGAAATATAAATCGTTTTCAGCCACGATATATTACATTTGAGCTGTGAATGCTTGTTCAGGCATACTGTACTGTAAATATCGGTTTTTGTTTGGGTCAAATTCAAACTCTCTGAATTACAAATTTTCTCTTTCACGAAGTCTGGATGGAGGTGTACGGAATTGGGAAATTTTACTGTACTGAATTTATCTCGGTCAGTACAACAATAACTTGTTTTCTTTTCCAGGCTTCTTCTCTTGGAATGGATCATGATGCCAATCTGTCATGGACAAGTTCCCTTGCAACTCCACCTATCAACTCATCTGGAATTTCTTGTAAAAGTAGTGAAAAGCCAAATAACATGAGAGAATCACCAGTAAAGCATCAGTCTGGGGTAAGATTCTTGTAAAAAAATATTCATGCTTTTTTGTATTGATATAATGTGGTAGTTAATGTGAACCATATTAATGCTGAAAAATGTACACAAACATGGTTGTAACTGTAGAAAAACTAAGGGTTGGTGATGACATTGGTAAGGATAGACAAGGCAGTTAATAAAGGTGGGTGGAGGGCCATGAAATTAGCTTTAGACTAAGTGGAAGACTTCAAAGCTGTTTAAAGTCTTCACACTATAGCTGTTTGAAGTCTTCACACCATAACTACATTTCTGAACATCCTAAACACACCCAAATGATATGTAAAGCTCCGTTCACACACAACAACATTATTTAATCAAATCAGTCAATAATTATGTAATAAAATAAAGTTTTTAAGTAAACAAAAATAGGCAAAAATGTTTTTGTTTCGGATTATTTCTATCAAGATTTATGTGACTAGTTTGTGTGATGTGCCCTTAGATGGGCATGTATATTATGTATGTCATATTATAACCAAGTATGGGCATATCACATCTTTTTTACATGAAATTTGGTAGTGTGGCCAAAGCTTAAGAGGTAATAAGAGATGTATATTATTTTCTTCCCTTTTTTGTCATTTTACAGGTAATTGCAAGAGCACTGTTCACTGACAATAATGTACCAAAAGATACCTGGATAGTGGATAGTCAGAACACTACTGACCTGTTTGATCTTGAAAAGACATCATCAGATGAAGATGAAAAAGAAATGACTGTTGAAATTGAAACATTAGAAGCTACGCTTAAACAGCATGACCAAACTTTAATAAATGAAAACCAGAGTGAAACAAATTCTAAGGAAAGTCAGAGCAATTGTGAGGGATTCAACCATGACATAATCAGTTCTAAAAAATCTGATGAAACAGGTTTGGACATTCAGCAACTGGAGTCTGAAGAAACAATTATTAGTAATGACCACAGGCCAGTAGCAGAGGATGAAACAAGTACATTGGGATGTCACTCTATATTTGAGTTTTCAAAATGCAGCAGTAGAGAAAAGGAAACCGAGAAACTTGATGGCAAAGATACTTCAACATCGAAGTTGCCAGACTACCAAACTTTGCAAATTGACTCCGATTTTGCAAAACATGATCACCTTGAATCTTCAGTTAGATTAGAAGTCTTTCCAGGGAAGCAAGCTCCAGAAAATAAAGTGGCACTACCTTCAACAGCCTCACAAGACAAACTGCAGTGCAAGTTTTCTCCTGATGGCAACTCTAACATTGCAGACACTCTTGCATTCCTTCTTGATACACCACCAGAAAGACAACAGAAACTTTCCAAGAAGAAACCACCACAGAAAGGTTCATTTTATAAGTGGAAGAGAAAGCGAAAAAGGAAGGCATCCATAAAGGGTAATAAAGGAAAACATGTGGAGGCCGGTGATCTTACAGATACTCCAGGCAGTGGATATACACAGGATAGTCTGACGGAAGAGAAAGGAAATGATGGAATACAAAGTGAAAACCATAATACAATTCATCAAGTTCAGTCAAGTACAAATAACTTGAATAAATCTCATCAGACTTTGTGTACTTCAAACATGCCAAAAATAGAATACCCTATACAAGACAACAAAAAAGCTGAGCCTATCCTTGACTCCACTTGTGTTAAGCTTGGTTCTCCAGTTTCTTCCAACTCTGATGGTGCTATGATTTTTAGTCCAAAAGGTGTAGATCCCTTTTCGCAGATTTCGCCAACATTTGCTGATGCCTTGTGTAGGGCTACAGATGCAGTGTCTACCAACGTAGGTGGAGGTGTTAAATATGACTGTAGTGGAAATTTTACGCTAGCCAAATCTGAAATTCGTCAAAATAAAGATTTTATTTTAAATAGAGATAACTGTAATGCTGAAGAAGATATGTGCAATATGTTAGTCAGTGGTGCTACTGTAGAAAACTTAAGATATAAGAAAGAGTCGAACACAAAGTCAGTTATTGAAGCTTGTGTTAATAGAAAATCTGGTGCTAAAGATCTGAAGAAGGTTGATCCTGAATCCATATCAACAAGGAGGGCATCAAAGTCATCGTTTATGTATCCACCGGAAATGCAGAAGTTATTACCAAATCTGTCAAGAACTAGAAAGCTATTTGATACATTTTTTAAATGTCCTACTAGACCTTCTTTTACTTACTCTGCTGAAGAGAGCGAATTAAAGAAACAATCCCCTAAACGATGTCAGTGGATGAAAAATGCTACAATTGTTAAAGAAGACAGCGATGAGGAAGATAAGAACGTTGAGACAACTAAGGCAGAGGGAGAGAAAATCAATGCAGTGTCGCTGCCAATATTTCAAGAGCAACCAAAACTTCCTGTGAAAAAAGGTGCAGTATATATTTTATGAATTTGTAAATTTTAATTTAATTACTGTACTGACCTATGAAAGCTGTATTATAGTGGTGTACCTATGATTCTTAAAATTGGGGAGATGATTGGGGCTGGGAGAGGTGCAAAGGTAGGTGGAGTGTGGGAAATTGATGATTAACTGTGGGCCAAGGTCACAAAATAGGTTTATGAGGTGATTTTTAACTACGTTAGCATGATTTTTTGCTTTGGACATTTTCAGTGGGGCACTGCTGTGGGGCTCAAGCTTTTTTTCAGGGCATGGTGGGGTGGGGGGAGAGGAGGTGGCGTTCCATTCCTGTGCACCTCGTGGATACACCACTGCTGTATTTAATATATTAACATCAATAATTATGTGCTTATTAAAGCTGAGAATTCCCGTGCCTAAATTTGAACACTGCTTTAGACTTGCATAATGTGCTACATTTTTGCCAAAGACTAGATAAACTACAGTACAGAGGAAGGTGAACGAATAATGAAGACTCTTCATCCTGACCCCTTGTCAGTCAAGTACAAAACATCCTTTTGGCTAACCGCCACTCTTGAATAAACAAAGCAGTGTTTAATTAGAAGTACAGTATGTTCAATTTTACATTGCAGCCCTTCATCAAGAGTACATAATACAATATATTTGATGTTTTGCATCATGAAAAAACCTTTTAAATAACCAATTCCTCGTATATACAATCAATTCAGATTCTGTATTCAAGATACCATTTTGACGCTTCAAACATTTGTAATAGGCACTGCTCTTCAATAAATTTGATACAAAAACCTAGAAATATTTATAACCAGCAATATTAGTATTACCTCATAAGTTCATAATTGCCCGATGATAAGTAACAAGTAACTATTATTATGTAATTATAAAATTGTAGTGTTTAAATTGTCAAAAAGATGAGTTCATACTGTAGCACTATAAACCCAGATCAAAATAGGTTAGTAGTATGTTTGGTGGAAAATGTAACTACAGGTAACAGTATTCACTGTTCGTTGAAATTACGCTTTGTGAATTTACACAATTTGCTTGGGCAAGTTAATTGCATCCACAACTTCTAAAGCTTAACCAGGAATAGAAGATGTTTCCGTTTGAAATATCCATTGAAGTCACAGATTTAATAATAATAACACTGCATTATTTCTTCATAGAGTTTGTGACTTTTACATCTTTCTTTGATGATGAAGTAGAAGATAAATCAAGAAATACCATCTCTAATTCTTTAGTTGAACATAAGACAACGCCAGTTAGTAGAAAAAAGAACCATCTACCAGTACAAAGGAAATATAGAAAGTATCAACCACATTCCAAGAAACTTAGAACAGATGAAATACCAGAAAGAATTGCCAACATGAAGGACAATCCTGATATGATACCAGATAAAAAGCTGCCTTTGATATCCAGAGGCAGTGATCATTCCATTGAGAGAAATGACATAATTAAAGACATTCCAATGATATGTAATGTTGATTGCACTCACATTTCAGATGAGAAACCACAAATAGCTAAGTATAGTATGTCAGCATCTGGTACAAGAATCAATATTTCTTGTGATGGAACCTTGAAAACCAGCAACCTCTCAACAGATAATGTAGACACCCAAAGCAGAGCTGACATGGATGGTCTGCAGCACATCACTGTTAATGTTGTGGAAAAACCATTAGAATGTTTAAAGAATGTCCATTCAGATGTAATGCTAGAGAAACCAGAGGAACCAGAAGACAATTTAATTAATTTTCCCCCTGCAAATGAGAAGGATGTGCAATCAGACTTCGAATCAGTGATAAAAAAAAATTGTGAAGCAGTTCAAAATTTGGAAAATGCCACAATAGATGCTTCTGTTATGGATTCAAGTGAAGAAAAAGGTGTCACTAAAGCCACAGAGAGCTGTTCTGAATTAAACAATATGAATTTAGAGGTTACCAGAGAAGATCTGTCTTATTTGTCCCATTTTGGACAACAAAAACAGAATTCCTCAAACTTAGAAGACCTCAGTATTGGGTCTGAACTGAAGTCTCTTTCTGAACCTGATGGATATATATCTTCCAGGGGAAAAGAAGTCATTATTTCCAATTCTTCATTGGGGAAAACTAATTCCTTAATTGCATCTACGGATCCTGACATGATATGTACTAAAGAAAGCCTATTTCAACATCAACCACTTGTCAAGAATAGTAGCACAAAAATTGATGGATTAGGAGGATTTTCTTGTGCTGGTGGCAAGCAGATTATTGTTTCAGAAAAGTCTTGGAAGCATGCTCAGTCTGTAGTGTCCGAAGTCAATGCAGATTTTGAGAAGGATACAAAAGAGCAAATTGATTTACCATCATTAAATCTGGAAGCACAAGCCAACAATAAACAGCTTCCAGCAGAACCAATGAAGTTTAAACCATCAACAAAGATTGAAGATAGTAATGAAGTCACCAATTGTAATAAGTATGCTCTACTTTTGTCTAATGCCAGTGCTGAAAAATTTAAAATCAAAAGGTTGAATACTAGTTGTCATCCAGTTGTGTTCAAGAAAGATTCCATATTGGCGGTTTCTGAAAAAGAAAACAATTCGGAGACGACTACCAGTAAAGAAGCTGTAGGTCACACTCTGAAATCAGATGATTATTTAGAAAACTTTGATGATGATTTTGTTTCTGATACACAAGCTGAAAAGGAAATTGCAGCTGCTGATGAGGCTGAAATGGTGTATGCATTCATGCAAGAGGAAGTGGAGGACAACCTATTGGAAGAAGTCAATACAAGAGAAAAGCATGACATCAGTAGTGTCTGCATTAAAGAAGTAACAGACCACCATAAATATAAGCATGATGGTATGTTTGAAGAATGTAGAGTACCAAAAGTAAACTACACATCGAAAAGCACGGTTGCTACTAAGATAAATGAAGATGCCAATGGTAAAGGCTGTGCAAATCCTGCGATGGCTAGTTTATCCGATGTACCTCAAGGACACCAGGCTTCAGATGGATTTTCTTTTCCAGATCATCATATGGAAAAAGAAATTCACGTTTTAAGTCTAACAAATGACAGTGAGGTTCCAGCAGGAGGAATCAAAGCTGAAGAAAATTTAAAATGCAACAACGCTGAAGAGAATATCTGCAAAAATGTTAATGTATTTGCCTCTGCACATCTGTGTGACCAGACATTAGGGAATTCTCAAAATTTACTACTAGCATCTGTACAAAATGTTGAAAATGGAAGGTTGGAGGAGGAAAGTGCTATGCAAGAAAGCACTGATGAAATGACTACAGGACCAATTCAGTCCTCACTCAATAGCAAGCAGGTAATGAATTTTGGATTTCAGACAGCAGGAGGAGTCAAGGTAGCTATATCAGAGAAGGCACTAAGACATGTTAGAGGATTGGTGAATCAAGATGGCTTTGAAGAAGATCCTCATCTGCTAGATCACGTAGTACCTGAAACTTCAGAATCATGTACAATTACTAATTTAAATATCACATTAGGAAAAGGAAGAAATATGATTGAAGATCATGCAAATGGAGCTGATGAATTCCCAAAACTAGTTCCTGCCACAGATGACCCATTTCAAGAAAATTCTAAAAGACCTTCATCTCTGATTCGAAGCAGTTGCTCTCAGGCATTTAACACAGTTAGTGGTAAGAGCATTTCCATCTCAGAGAGTGCACTACAAAAGGTAACAGTGGGGAACACTGAATTTCCAAATCAAACTTCAGCCATATCTGTTCTCTCTAGTGCTGTCGATTGCCAAGGACCAATACCAGCAGAGGCAACTTCTTCTCGTAAGTCAAATAAAGAAAAATATTTTGTTGGCTTTATGACTGGAAATGGGAGGAAAGTGAACATTTCTGAAGAGGCTTTAAAAAAAGTAAAACAGGATTTTGTTAATGAAGATGTTGTAAGTGATATGCTTTTTACTGAAAAGAGAATAAATGCTAGTGCATCAAAACCAGACAGTTCCAGCTTAACAAAGAGCCATGTTTTAAGATTCAAGGAGACTATTTCATCTAGAAAACCGCATACAGTAAACCAATTTGTTGGTTTTTTAAGTGGAAAGGGTCAAACAATAAATGTTTCACAAAGTGCTTTGGAAAAAGTGAAACTGATGTTGGATAATGAGGAAGTTTCAAGTAATTTACATAGTGTGGAAAGAAATACTGAGAACAGCACATCTCAAGCAGACACCAGCATGACTAGTAGTTGTGTATCGCCACCTAAAGAGGCATATTTTGCCAGGTCAAATATTGAGAAGCCATTTGTTGGATTTATGACTGGGAAAGGCGAAAAATTAAAGATATCTGAAGATGTTTTAAGCAAAGTTAAGCAGAATTTTGCTGATTTTGAAAAAGCCTCAGGTGATATGCTTTTAACAAATACAACATTACACTCCAGTGAATCCAATGTGTCATGTCACAGTAAAGCCTCACCTTCTAGGACATTTGTTGGTTTTCGAACAGGAAATGGAATAAAAGTAAACATTTCTGAAGATTCTTTCAGAAAAGTGAAACAAACATTTGATAATGAAAATTTAGCAAGTGATGAGCTGCTTACAGAAAGCAAATTAGAGTGCATTAAGTCAAAACCAGACTCTTGTTTAACCAACATCCATGTATCAAAAGTGGGAGAAGCCTCATCTACCAGAACAGAAACAGTGGAGCCATGTGTTGGTTTTATGACTGGAAACGGAGACGAAGTGAATGTATCTGAAGATGCCTTGCGACTAGTGAAACAGGCATATGATAATGATGATGTTGCAAGTGACATGCTTTTCTCTAAATGGACAATAGAGTCCAAGAAATCTAAATTAAGCACCAGATCAACCAGAAGTTGTGTGTCTAAACAAAGGGAGGCCTCCGATTCAAAAATTGATAAGCCATTCGTTGGCTTTATGACTGGAAAAGGTGAAAAGGTAAAGGTGTCTGATGTTTCTTTGAAGAAAGTGAAGCTGGATTTTGATGATGAGATTAACCCAGTTGTGAAAAAGCCGTTCATAGGTTTCTTAACAGGCAAAGGGGAAAAAGTACATGTTTCTGATGATGCGATTAAAAAAGTAAAATTTGTTTTTGAAGAAGAGATCAGTAGTGGTGTGTCTTTCAAGGACCAATATGCTGGGTTCCAATCTGGAAGTGGTACAACTGTGTCTGTTTCTGCTAAGTCATTGAATAAGACTAAACAACTCCTGGATGCTAAAATGGATAATGCACTGAGCGATTCAGAAAGAAATGCCAGTTGCATTGGATTTCTGACTGGCAGAGGGAAAAAGGTCAGCATCTCTGACAATGCCATCATGATGGGAAAGAAACTCCTCAATGAGGCAACAGAAAAGTTTCCAATGAATAAGCATCTTCCCTCAGGATCTGTGCTAGGCTTTAAAACTGCTCGAGGATCAAAGGTTGATATTTCTGATGATGCCATCAAACATGCAAGAGGTGTTCTACAGGACCAGATGGCAAGAAAAAACTTTCAAGATCCAGAAGTTCCTTTGATGTCAGAAATCAACTTGCAGCAGGAATTGCAGAAAATGTCAAAAAGCAAAGAGAGATCTCAATCCAGGAGGTTCCCATCTCACAAGAACAAGACAGAATATTCTAAAGGAATGGGTGTCAGAAAATCACTGAAACAATCTTTGTCTACTTCAGCAGCACTGGATTTTGGTAAGTGTACATTTAATTCATTTTTTTTGCCTTGTTGTGTCATTCTGAATGTGAATTAAAATTCATTTTAAGAGACATCTGTTTTTCTAAGTATACTATAGTTAAGACAAATATTTGAAAATCAGATTATGGTGCCATGATGAAATGATGAAACACACAAAATTATTTTTTCCTTTTTTTGCTGCAGAATCTCCAACTGGAAGAATCGCACTTGCAGAGGAACAAGCAACAGCACCTTTTAAGCCTTCACCTGAAAGTAAGCTTTTGTCAGAACTTTTGCTCATTTTTATATAGAAATTCTTATATTGATTATGATGATGTATTTTCATACACAGTTTGGTGGTTAATTAAGGTGCCTTCTAACCTCAGAAATCTGAGCACAAGTTTTTCCCCACTTATATATTCGCGCATAAGGGAGTCAATGGATCGCAACTCAATTTTGGGTTGTCGGTCTAGAAGTTTACGGAATGCTGCTCTATTGTACAAATTGTTCACAGGCTATTAGAGTTTCCAACTTGTACTTCCCAAAACTAATTGTTAAACTAGTATACAAATATTAAATGTTTATGAGTGCAATGGGAAGAATATTTTCATGGTTTGAAAGATTGGCTGTTCCATTCGAGCCATGTTTTAAGATCTAAGGAGACTATTTCATCAAGAAATACAATAAACTTGGCTCCGCCTGATTGAATGGAACAGTTAATCTTTCAACGAATGAAAATTTACTTTCCTATGCACAAATGAAAAACATTCATTATTTGTTTTATAATACACCTAAAATAGATTCATGTCATTTGATATTTTATGGAATAAATCTACCTTTTTACTGAATGAAGATTCCCTTGTCATTTAATATTTTATAAAAAAAATCTACCCTTTTCTAAATGAAACAGTCTAGCATCTTAACCAATCAAAAGATTGTATTAGATTGAAGTCATATCTTATTCTAGGCATAAAAATACATTGTGGAACTAAATTTCCATGATTAGTGAAGAAATGGGGTAAATAATCAATGTCACAATAACCAGGATCTATTTACGTATGTTATAAAGCTACAAATACACATATTGCTTGTTAAGAACATGTGATAAAAACTTCTCCATTGTTTCCTGCTGTTAGAAAGACATGGAATGGAGTATCTTTGGCTATTGAAATCAATTATTATAACAACAATATGCATTTACACTCATGTTATTTTATCCATTCATAGCTATTTTTCAGGATAGGAGTTCATTCTTACCAGGCAATTCGAGTCACGTCAAACCTCTTGTGTCTCAGCCAAACAACACTCGTTATGGGTAAGGTTATTGTAATACTTTGTCAGAAATTGTCTTGACAAAAAAAAATCATTCACACTTCTACATTGTGTACTATATATACTAGCATATATATATATATATATATATATATATAGCGCCGTAGAAGCAGTTGGCGCACGGTTTTGGGTTGGACTCCCAACCTCGAGGTCGGGGGTTTGAAACTCTCGCCGTACAAATTGCTTGTGTCCTTGGGAAAATCACTTTATATACGGTTGCCTCTCTCCACCCAGGAGTAAAAGTGGGTACCTGGTAGGTTCCAACACAACTGCGCTGATTACTAGGTGCAATCATGGAATAATAATATAATTTAATTTCATAATTTAATTTGGTGTTTCATATGTATTTGATCCAATAACCGGGGTAGTAATGTGAAGCGCTTAGAGGCTTTGTGCATGAAGCGCTATATAAGAACAACATATTATTATTATTATTATTATTGTTATTATTATTACTTTTATTATATATAAGACAAGACTTTAAATAGCAAATTATGATCGAAAAATAGGGGATCGTCCTATACACACAACTTATAATAATGTTGATTGGCCCTAATGAAGAGATTAGCCCTACGTTCGGGTTCCGTTTTTAGCCAGCTAGATGCAGTATCAAGACCGCAAAAAGCGGCAAAAGTAGGAATACCAAGGATGACACAAGGGCAGGGCTAGAAATTTACTTTTTCAGCCACTAGCAACCTATTGCTAAAATGTGCTAGTTGTTAAAAATGTAACTAGCAAAATGAGCTTCTCAACTAGTAAAATATATTGATACCGACTCAACATATTATTTTCGGAAAATAAATTGTATGAAAATAACTAATGATGTACTTCTATAAATT